AAGCAGTAAGGTGCATTCAGTTAAGACCTATGCCAAATTGGGAAAACAGTTGCAAAGAAGGTATATTATTCTAGTCATAGTTTGGTTTTTTTTTTTGACTTGAGATGGGAATGGTGAATGTGTGCTGATTATTAATTAGAAAACACATTGTTGTCTCCCACCTACACTCCATTGCTTAACTTTTACAAGATTCTTGCCCCTATAAGCTTAGTTGTATACTATTTCATCTCCTTTATGGAAAACTACACATGGACGCCTGATGTTTGATGTAATTATACAGCTAACCCCCCTCATATTTCAGAAATCAGCTCTTAATAAGTTCCTTATCTCTTGGGGTCCGAATTCAAAATAGTGAGGCCTTTTACCACTTCCATAATGATTCTATGTTTGTTTCACAAGCTCATAAAAACTTGTTTTAGAACATAAAAAGGAAAAAGTTATTATCAAATTCGATGTCAATTCAACCAAAAAGGGTCCATTGGTTAAGCCAGTAGTCAAATACATGGCACTGTTCTTCATTATCACAATCACAAGTTGTGTTATTAGGGTGCCTGTAGTATGTTTCAAGCGTTGGATTATTTACCCATTAAAACAATACATGAGTTGGAGACAATTCGATTCATATTCATTGTGGGCATTGAGTATTGAGAGGACCTTTCGACGAGAGGACCGAGAAGAATGCATCTCTTGTGTATCGTTTATCGTGCCCACAGAGTGAATAATTGCTAATAGTATTCTCTATTTTAGAAAGTGTTTTTTGTCCAAAATAATGGTCATTTTGATAAATAAAAAATTAGTATAGAGAGAGGTTTTTCTAAAATTCTCTATTCCAGTAAAAAAATAACGTCTATAATTAATAGCGCTTAATAAAGTATATGTGTTTTCTTTTTATTTAATAATAATAAGGATAAATTACACTAACACCTCTATAAATTAGTCTAATTATAGAGATACCCCTTAGTTTTCTAAAATTACATTGACACCCCTATCAAGTCTTGTCCTTTAACAAATATAACAAAAAAAAATGCAATTGGAGTTGTCAGCTCCTTCACTTTGGTTTTAGCCTCTTTCCCCTTAATAATAAGGTAAGCTTGTTTGTGTTCGGGCTTTCGACACCATATACTAGTGCTAGTGCGGGTGAAAGCCTCGAAAAAGACTTAGCCATTTCTTCGAGGCTCTTCTTGTAAAGAAAGGCATTGATACATACACCCCACAGCCCAAAAGGCCTACGAGGTCACTAATCGGTGTAGGCTAAGATCCTTTACGAACTGGAAGAGCAAAATAAGACACTGGAGCTTACTCGAAAGGGAGGCGTAATTGCATGCTTCGCTTCAAGTGCACTAGCGGTTTAAGGAACCAGCGCCCAATGAGCCTGCGCGGCCGGTCCCCGTTGGCTAAGAACCCCTCTTTCACGTGAAGTGAAGCAATCAATTTCGCTTCGCGGGTAGGAAGATTTACATGCTATGGAAAATTCAATAAGTGAGCAAGAAAGCAAACATAATTACCCTTACCATACGTTATTTTTCACATGTCATCCTCTCATATATTTAAATACTAATAAATTAGTTATTTTCGGGTTCAACCTGTAAAATCAGAAATTGATATGATCAACTCATTTATTTAAACGTGTCAAACTTTCTTTATCTTGTCGTTTGTATATTAATACGAACAATACGAAATTGACATGATTAACATGTTTAACTAGTATTATAAATAAAATATTAATTATTGTTTATTGTTTATTAAACAATGACATAATTATTGTATAAAAAAATATTTTTATTCATTTTTATTGCTATATTTATTAAGTTAAATTTTAGTTTATAGAAAAAGTACGAGTATAGATTCAATTAAGTGATAATAGAATCTTAGATTTAAATCTTAACATTAAATTTTTTATTCAAAATTAATATGGATCAACACAAATACGAATACACCCGCACACTTAGCCCAACGATGTGGAGTTGAATCTAGATGAATCGTAAACCTAGACGTCAGGGGTTCGACTCTCGCTAATCTCTCTCGAGCTTAACGGATATCTGTGGTTTGTGGGTAATTATAGATATCCGGAACTTACTCTCGCAGGGATGAGTCTAAAGTGTCCCTGCCTTAGAGAGGTTTCACATTATAAAAAAAAAAACACAAATAAGACATACGAACACGACACGAAAAGAAACAGATTAACTTAATTTTTTTTCAAGAATAATATGGGTATTAAAGTGTAAAAAGTTGATGATGTAATCATTTTTTTGATATTACCAATAACGATGTTGACCATAAAGGTACTTTGTAAAATGGGTAGGTAAACAATAAAGAATGTCAGTATAATTTCAAAAAACTAAAGGAGACTAATTTACAGAAATATCAGTGTAATTTACCCTAGTAATAAAGTAGATATTGAGTTTGCGGAAGCAAAATAACACTTTCTATTTTAACTAGGCTAAATAAAAATCTTAGTGAAAATAGACTTTAAGGGTTGACTGTATAAAATATTAAGTGGAGTAAAAATATAAGTGGAGTAAAAATATAGAACTTATGGGAATTGTGATCATGTTCTAGCCGTGTGTACAGTAACGAAGCCATGTTATGTCCTAGGGGTCATATCCCCTGCCCCCACAAGTTTTTAAATTTATGCTTTAGCCTCTAAAATTATGTTAACCCACGTCAAGTTTTTCAAAATATGTTTTATACCCTTAAAATGATACTTTGATTTTATTTTACGTGGCACTCTCAAATTTTAAGACTTATATTTTATATCTCTAGATGTTAATCTTGATTTTCTTTTATGGTTAATCACAAATTACATGCTGAAAGATTGTTCGAATCTTAATTTATACCTTCAAAGATCAAAATTTTTAATTTGCAACCTTGAAGATAGAAATTTATATCAATATGCTCTTGAAACTAACAACTGTCAGTTTTTCGTCTAAAATTAAATGAATAAATTATACCTAGATCCGCTCATACTCGTCACTTAATCATTTAGACCTCTTCATATTTAAAATATTATTTCTACACCTCCTGACGTTTGTGCACGTATAACACATAATTTTTTATCGTTGATATTTGTTAATATAACTGTTAAAAAATATGATTTTATTTTAATAAAAAATTATAATTTTCATATTATCATTTATTTTGTGGGTCCGTTTACTCTAAAGTTTAAAATCAAGTTTACTATTTGAATGTCCAATATAATGTATATATTTATATAATGTTATTTATATCCAATACAATATATCACTTAAACAAAATTATTTGAATGCCCAATTGGGATAACATTTTTTAGTCATATTTGGATTCTAAAGGGATATAGATGTAATATTTCAAATATGAGGCATTTAGGTGATTAAGTGACAAACATGAAGGGATGTAAGTGTAATTTATCTATTTAATTTTAAACGTCAAACTGACGGTCATCAGCTTGAGGTGTGCATTGATATATATTTCTATCTTTGATGGTGTAAATTAAAATTTTTGATCTTTGAGGGTAAAAATTAAAATTCAAACAATCTTTCGAAATGTAATTTGAGATTAATCCTTTCTTTTACGCATTGACTATTACTTTGAATACATTTTTTTGACTTTTTTGTAATATGAAGATACGTGATGAAATTTAAGTTTTCTCAATGATTATGAATTAAAAAATTAGTTTAAATTGTTGATTGTTTGATGAATTGACATGAAATTTCTTTACATCTAATTTTGACAAGTTGGGGTTAATTTTTAAAATTTTTTTTGAAATAAATAATCATAGGGTAAACGAATAAATTCATACAAGGAAAAAGAAAAAAAAACATTATATAATTCCATGCAAACAATCATAGTGTTTGTTATAATAAAGTATTCTATAATAAATGTTATATACTTTAAGAAAGGACAGCACTCTACATTGATTCTCAACTATACTTCAATTTAGAGGAACTTAATCAAATTATTTTGTTTGGAATAATGCTTGAATCCTAATCGTCCATAGCAAGAATAATTTGTCGAGAATCTTTTAAATTGAATTTTGCTTATCAATTTTGGCAGTTAGAATAATAGAAAAAAATACATTCTTTTTTGGAGTGAAAAACATTTAACGTTTGAATTATAAACGTCGTGAACAAAAATTATATGTCGAGAATCTTCATAATTAAATTTTATTTATTAATTTTGGTGGCTATAAGAATAGAAAAAATTATTTACTTACGGGTGGAAAAAAATTTATGTTTGCATTATAATCGTTGTGAACAAAAGTCATTTATTGAGAATTTTCAAAATTAAATTTTGTTTATTAATTTTGGTGGTTAGAAGAATATAATTTTTTTTCTTTTTGGGGTGGAGAAAAAGTTCTCTCTTTCTTCCTAATTAAAATTATAAAATAATAACCAGCAAAAAAAAATTAAAATTTCTAAAATATTGGCACTTTTGAATAAAACCCAAAATTGAAGAATTTTAATTAGGAAGATAACCTCATAATTAGCTCCGTAATATTTTGATTTTGGAGCTCCAAGGTTTTAGCCGTTTCTAGGGTTTTAGAGTTTCCTACTCTCCACTTTGGACTTGACGATTTCGTTGATTTCTCGTCACAATTAGGGTTTGTGTTGGGCGGCTAGGTTTCCTGTTCTCACTTCAACAAATATATATATATACAACCTCATCTGACTGCTGCTTGAGTTTTACACATAAATTTATATATGAAGTTTTGAACTTTTGATCACTTCTTGCATGTTCAAATCGAATATGGGTTTTTGATTTCCTTTGATAGTTATTAGGTCATAGACTCATCTGGGTGTTTTTGATTATGTGCTCTGAAATTTCTCTCATCAACATCATATTCAGGTTTGCTGTCTATGCATTTCCAATTTGTACATCTTTGCAGACTTTACAAGAGGTTCTGAACTTCAACCAGTTTTTTAATGATCCAATCCAATCTCAGTTTTTGATTTTTAATCACAAAAAAAAAAAATCATCTGGGTGTTCCTGATTTCTTTGATTAACACCAAATATCATCTGGGTGTTCCTGATTTCTTTGATTAACACCAAATTCAGATTTGCCTGTCCTGTTAACTCTAATTTTTTTGTCTGGTTGCGCTTAATTGATTACACTCATACACACCTATATGTTCTTACTTAGCCTAATTAGCTGTCTGGATGTTATTCAATTTTTACTTAATCGTTGTTTCATTGTCTGCATGTATGTCTTTTGCTGATTATTCATTTCCGTCACAGGATTTTACTCATTAATCGTCTGTATGGTTATGTTTGTTTATTCTTCACTGTCCATACAGGGGATTTACCCGAATGATATTGAGATCACTGTCTTATGCCTAAAAATTCCATCTTGATCTTAGTTTTCTTCACAAAGAAGAAAGAATAGATTTGGAGTCGGTTTTAATCCGTCATCCACCATCATGAGTTTTTCTGATCATCCAACTTCACCACCATCTCCATTTATGTCACTTCCGTTCGTTGGTGATTATGTTGGTGGCTTTTGGCCTCAACCTCTAATTGACAATGAACAGCCGGACACACATTCGCAGTTTGAGCATGTGCCTCCATTTAAGAGACCCAGGAATTTTGAAAGCAACCCACCAAATTCTACACCTTTCCCACACATGAGTCTAAGGATGAATCCACCAGTTGTGGCTGGGTGTAAAGGTACCAGCCATATATTTTTCAAGACCCGCATGTGTGCAAAATTCTTGGAGGGAAATTGTCGCAATGGTGAGCACTGTACCTTTGCCCATGGGGCTGAAGATTTGCGGGAACCCCCTCCAAATTGGCAAGAACTTGTTCGTGAAAGGGATAGGGTTGGGAATTGGAATGATGATCAGAGGATAATACATAGGATGAAAATTTGCAAGAAGTTTTACAATGGAGAAGAATGCCCATATGGGGAAAAGTGCAATTTTCTTCATGAACCTCCGTCAAAATTTAAGACTGATATGGTAATGCCAACATTGCCAAGGGAGAGTTCTGCAATAAGCATAGGAACTATGGGACCAATAATGGGGCATAGAGATGGCTCTGATCAACCTGAAATTAATAAGCATGTGAATGGCTGTTCGGATGCCCTCAGAGTTAATATGAAGCCTGTATTTTGGAAGACACGAATATGTTCCAAATGGGAGACCTCGGGTCAGTTCCCATTTGGGGAGAGATGTCACTTTGCTCATGGGCAATCAGGTACACTAGTGGTACAGAACTTCATTTGTTAATCTATTTGTAGTTACCATGTTACATTCTTGATTTCTATGATGTGGATTTTGCATTACATTTTTAAGATGAATGGCAAAAACTTAAAATGAGACAAGAAAAAGAAAGGCCTTGCTTGTATCTTTTGAAATTTTCCAAAGCCACTTCCGGCCTATATGTTTACCATCCAAAATCATAATTTTAATTTTTCATCATGATATATGTGTATCCTAATCCATCAAACATAGTTAAATGAATTTTTATTCGTGGAAGAAAAAAGTGATTTTCCCACATTTATATGTTGTCATATTTGCTTATACTTTGTGGCAAAGATTATTAACAAGAAAGTATGAATTGATTATTAAAATTGTCACAATGAATTTGCAAATAGCAGTCCAGCATTGTGCTGTTAATCTTGTATATGGTTGTGTATGAGAGAATCCTAGTCCCCAAGTAGTTTGGCCATATCATCATGATTGGCCAAGATGATACATTTGCACCATTTATGTGTCGTAACTTTCTTAGCCGACCGGAAATGATTGGGTCATAAGGCTTGGTTTGGTTTGGTTATGTGTCCCAACTTTCTTGCTCTAAGCCTACAACGAGGCCTTAGAGACATAGATAATGCTCCTATATTTAGAAGAATTTGGACATGTGGTGTCTTCTTATTAGGTTGAGATATCCTGTGTATCAATGATAATGCGGTGTCACTGCTATGTTCTATATTTACTCACCATTGATGTCTTGCTCACCACCCCACCGGCCCACCCAAAAATGAAAAAAAAAACCAAGAAGAATGAAAATTTGATGGTCTTTTGTGGTTGGTTCTTGTAAATGTTATGTTAACCTGGCCACGGCCACTACCATTCCCATGGTCTTTGGATTAAGCACTTTCTTAGATCAGGTTGGTGGGCTGGTCTTTCTAGATGCATTCCCAAAGGCAATATCGTATGCAAGCAAAATCTTTTTTTTTTTGGCTTCTTAGTGCTTTACGCAGTACATGATTCCATGTAACCTTCTAATTGAGATTAACTTCAATATTTTATTTTCTATTGGTAAGATCGTTTGAATATGTCTCTTCTCAATTGTGTAATTGAATTGAACACATACAGAGGTGAGATTATCATCGGCTGATGTGGCTGTTTCCGGTAACAGAGTTACAGGTTCCCAGTGGCCTCGTTGAGGCCGAAATGATGATGAATATGGGCTCCATTCCAGCAAAGCCTCTCGCTGTTCCTTCAAATGATGCAGCTCCTGCTAATACAGTTACTAGTGCTTCAACAAAAGAAGAAGGGGTAGGTAAGAAAGGTTTATCTAAGTGGAAACTAACTAAAAAGATGAATCGCATTTATGCTGATTGGATTGATGATCTAACACCTCCACACATCCTGCCGAGTGAAGTGGAGAAATGAGATCATCTTTTGAGCTCCAAGTTTCTCTGGAATTGAAGACTTGAGTTCCATACAGTTTACAAATTTTGACCCTTCATAAAAGAAATGTTCATGCATCCCAAAGGGATGTGAAAAGAAAGCTGAGTCCTTTTCCCTTGTTTTTTTTACCCTTTCTCGTGGTCTTGGTTGTTTATATTATCTATAGATAATTTTCTTTTCCTTTGTGATTCATTTTACCTTCATTGATCGGATACAGCTATTGATTCTTGTTGAAAATTCAAATAAGAGAATTTTTCGGTTCTTGTGTTTGGCGTATTTCTGATTGTGGGCATGCCACAGTCCAAATGGATTTAAAGATTCCAAATAATACGAGTAGACCTATTCGAACCGAATCATGATTGCTTAGGTGACTATTGCGAGAGTACCTTCTGAATTCTTTTCTATGTATTCAATCATCTATATAATTATTTCTTTCTCACCTTTTGATCTTGTCACTTTTCTACAATCACTCACACAGATAGCCATGTGGAGGACTCCGTTATTAATTTCTAGGGCAAAAATCATAATTGGTCCCTAAAATTTACTTTTGATTTTAATTTGATCCCTAAATTTTCAATTGTCTTAATTTAATCCATCAATTATGAATTTCGTCTCAATTAAGTTATTTTGTTTATTTTTACAGTTAGATCAAACGGAGTCTAGTCCAATTTGATCGATTTCCACCATTAAATCATATATTATCATTTGATCTAACAATGGAAATTGACGAAATGACTTTAACTAAGAAGAAATTGATAATTGAGGGATTAAATTGAAATAATTAAAAATTTAGGGACCAAATTAAAATCAAAGTCAAAGTTGAAGGACTAATTATGAAATTTATCCTAATTTTTAATATTTAGGTAAAGTAGCATCCAAAAATCCCTCTCTGCTGAGCAGCCAAATGCAGCCAGCCCCAGAGGCATGTTATGTTAGTAAAGGAATCTGTTGAGCAAGCATTTCTTTTTCAAACAACACCATCTTCCCCTTTTGCTCTACCCACTTTTTTCTTTTACCATTACCATTTTGCTTTCCCCGCCAATTCCCTTTTTTACTTTCATTGAGAAACTACTCTTTTACAATTAACTCTTACAAAGAATCCGCATAGTCCGATTTGTATCCTTAATATACTTTCTTTCTTTTAATTTTTTTTTTTTGTCAGACCATTTTGTATCCGAAAGTCACTTTAGACTCTAACTAATCCAGATTCGAGCTGGATAGAATCATATGAGTGACAAAACTCTCCCTACCGAACGCAGTTGCATTTCCAAGACTCGAACTCGAGACCTTGGTTAAACTAGAATAGTTCTTCACCAATTGATCTAACGCCTGATGACATCTTTTAATTTTCTTTAATGATGGATCATCATACATGAATTCGAGTCCAACTTATTATAACATAAATAAATCATTCTCTAATACACATTTTGCTGATTAGATCCTCTTAATGGTCTTTTCGGTCCCAAAAATCAAAACTTCAACTAAATCAAAGACTTTCAACAATTGTTTCGATCTATTTTTTAGCTATCACCCGTAAAATTCAAACGAGATTAAGTGGATTGTTCGATAATTCAGGTTAAACGGTCTTATCACAAAATAAAATTGAGAAAAATACGTTATAGATCAAATTTAATATGAATCGAACGGTGTGTGAAGGAAGTTGAAAGTCTCAAGTTTAGTGAACCGTTGATCAATTTTGGCGGCTCATCACAGGACACCAAAACGTAGGACCCACTTCTCCACGTGTCATCATGTAACGGCTTTAACTCACTGAGTCATCACCTACCCTGACCAAACCTTTCCTCTCAAACTTTTCAACCAACCAATGGAAAAACCAGAGCCATGCTCTGCCTCCTCTCTTCCTCATCCACCTCCCACGTCCTCTCTCTCTACAAAATTTTCTCTCTTCAATCCCTAATCCTCACAAGGCCCTCCTCTCATCTTCCCTTCTCCACAATGTCCATAAACCTCAGCTCTCATGCCTTCGCTGGCAACCCCATAATATCCAAGACCCCCAAACCGAGTGACCCATTTTCACCAAACTCTGCCTTTCAAACCCTCAAAACTTTACTTTCAAGCCACACGCATGAACCATCTTCTCCAAATTTTAAGGTCTTGCCCTTCAGAAAGGGCAGGCCTTTGGCCAGGTCCACTGGGGATTTGGCGCCAAATTGGCATCTGGGTTGGTTAAGTTTGGGCGATTGTAAGACTTTATTGGAAAATTCTGAGGTTAATTTGATTGAAGAGTCATTGGTTTATTTGGGTTCCAAGTCCGAGGATGATGTTGTGTATTGGGCAATTGATGTGTCCGAGGCTAGTGGTTTGGTTAATGAATTGGGTAGTAGGCAGTTTTGCTTTGTTGAGTTGAGGACTTTGATGGTTGCCACTGATTGGGTTGATGCAAGGGCTATGGGTGAACTAGCTATTGCTGGTCATGTAAGTGTGGATTGAGAGTTCATTTGATTTGGGTTATATGTAGTTACACTTGTATTTAATTTTCACCTTCAAAAGGTTGATTACATTGAATCTCAGCAGCATGATTTAGGAGGGGTCATCAATCGGAATTAACTGCTTTACTAGTAAATGATTAAGAGCTAATCTTTGGCCCCAGTGCAGAAAACAATTAACACTGGAAGCAAAATTATCAAGTTTCATGACAATTGGTTTTAGTCTAATGTAAATTCATGCCACCAAGGAGGTCTTTTACAATGTCACCAGTGTCGTATTTATTAGAATTGTGATATTGAGAATACATGTTTCATTTGTTAAAGAGAACCCAGAGACTCACCCCTTCAATTGTTTTTCCTTTGTTTTGATTGGGATTATGACTAGTATCATGTTGGTACCTAATAAAGCTCGGGGGTTAAATGATAATACGAAAATAGGCTCTTATTTTCTGTTTCCTAGTTATCAGTTGGGAGAGAAGTATGCATCAAATATGAACTTGTATATAATAAACTCAAAATACTGCTCCAGTGCCATTTGCTTCCAGCATCATTAACAAGTTAAACATATGATATTAGACATAAAAATGTTATTTTATGATTAGTTGGAAAAAAGGGAGTGCCTTATTTTGCTTTTGGTTGCATGGTCCACTCTTATTACTTGATAAAAAAAAATTCTAAACATATAGAGAACTAATGGTTCATTTGCCTAGGTAGACAATGCTAAGGTGATGGCCTATTATTTGGGGCTTCTATCAAGTGGACTTCAGTCATCAAATGCCATGGTGTAACAAACACGAAAATTTTAAGTGTTGGTGCTGTTATATGCAGTTACATTGTTATTTATCACAGAACTTGGCAGAGATGTACTTTCCTAATGATTGCAATCAATAAGATGTTCCTCCTCTTACAATTTGTTTTTAAAAATTGGAGATGTTATATTTTGGAAATTGATCATCTTTCTATGGCCTGGCTGCGTTGAAACTTGTTCCTGCATTGTCATATGGATAAAGGTTTCAAAACACTGTTTTTCCCCTTTAATTCACATAATATTTTATCCCTCATGTAATCTGCAACTTATTTTACTGAGAGGTATGTATTTTTCCATTTTTGTATTGTTATCAGGCTAGAGCATTATTAGAATGGCATAATATATCACGTTTTTGTGGACATTGTGGAGGAAAAACAGTTCCCATGGAAGCTGGCAGACGGAAGCAATGCTCAAATGAGTCATGCAAAAAGAGGATTTACCCTCGAGTTGATCCGGTATGGTGATGATCGCATTTCACTGTTTTGTTGGATCTTTAGTATTCAGACATGCTGGATGCACTTGATTATATTGCATTCTCTGACCCACGTGCCATTGTAACAGGTTGTCATTATGTTAGTCATAGATAGAGAGAATGATCGTGCACTTTTAAGTAAGCAGTCAAGGTTTGTGCCACGCATGTGGAGTTGCCTTGCCGGTTTTATTGAGGTATATTATCCACATACATTGGGACTTTCATCTACCCTTTCATCAAATTTAGAAAAAACTTATTCGAAGTAAGAAATTTGTTTATGTCATTGCTACTTAATCCTTGTCAAGTAGTAGTTTGATGGGTGCATGTTTTCAAAAATTTCAACATACACCTAGGTGACACTAATTCTCATGTATTCTTTTGATTGGATTAGCATGTTATTGTATGTCTCCCTCCCCCTCTCCTCCCTACCCTTTCACAGTGGAAGTAGTAAACATTATCGATCCATTTATTTGTCCTTAGCCAGGAGAAAGCTTGGAAGAGGCAGTGAGAAGAGAAACATGGGAGGAGACTGGCATTGAAGTTGGCGAAGTTATCTATCACAGTTCTCAGCCATGGCCTGGTATTGTTTCTTTTTCTAAAAAATAGAATAAAATAAGAGAGAGAGCATAAGATAATAAACTGTGATGGTAGTTCAGACTCAACTTTGTTACACATGGTCTCATTGAACTGCAAGCTGTTACCATGGAGCAGTCTTCTCCATGACAATGGCTTGGTCAAAGAACAAGGTTTTGCTACAGGCTGTAAAAATCCAACGAGCCTTTGCACGAAAAATTAATCCTATAAGGAGGGGCAGATTTGGTATGGGGGCAGCTGCCCCCACTGAAATTTTTAAAAAAATTGGAACTAGGTATAATTTTGAAATTTTCAAAAAAATTTGAATCTTGCCTCTACTGAAATTTTCATAAAGTATAAGGGAAATTAGTGTTATTTTTAAACCATTAAAACATAAGTTTTGTGCCCAAAGAAACGCAAATTCGAAGATTTGAAAGATAATGAAATTGGCTTTCTATGAAGACAGATATCCAAATGGAAGCTTGCATTCTTTAAGTCAATTTGTTAATATTAGTATTTTATATATTCTTTTAATATTTTTTATTGTTAGGGGTATTTTTTTAATTTCTAAAATTTTTGGAACATGTCATATTTTTTGATCAAATTTTAGCGTTGAATATTCTAGAATTTAAAGTTCTAGTTCTAGTTAATTTTAGTTTTTTAATTTCTAGGGACTTACTGTTTTTGGAGTCCTAGAGACTTTGAAATCCTAATCTTTTGGGATTAGGAGTACTTAAAACGTTAGTGTTATTTTTAATAAAAGATAGAGTGAGATATTCAGAATTTTTAGCAATTACATGTTTCTTGAGTTATGTGATACAATTCTAACCCTAGTGTGATGCCTAAGGAACCCTACGAGTGATTCCTAGCCAAAATTACTATTCATGGGTACTGTTTATAGCCCCTGAACAACTTTTATTTTTATTTTACAAAGTTGTCCTACATCACCTCCTCACCCTTATTTTTCATGTACGCCCTTCTACCCATCTTCTTCAGTCGAACGTCAGTTTGTGTCTTCTTTTCACCAGCTGGTCCAACCCTCTTTCTTTCCGTTACTTCCTTTGGTATATTCATCAACAAATCGGCCTACTAATTCAATCGTTATTCAAATCATGCTTTGAAGAAACCCTAGAAGATTATGTTGAAGCTATAAAGAGGCAATCCATTAACCATAAATCTTTTTCCTAATTTCTATAGATTCTCCGTCACTAGGAAATAGGAATTTACATGTCCAAGGATATATAGCAGTGTAGTATTAAATCAGATTTTTCATATTATCGAATTAGTTTAGTTCTTACCGAATTGAAGCATTGATGACTGTTTGGTATATTATTTTGGATCCTAGGCTTGGTTGAATATATTGAGAAAGATGTTTCTAAGTGTAATTGAAAATGAAATGATTATGCAACTATTCCAAAATATGAAAACTCATAAGGAACAATTATAAAGGATTTATTGGATGTTCGAGAGTTGGGAGCTCTTTTTGTATAGGATCTCGAACACTAAAGGATACTTTCAATGCGAAACCTTTTGGTTATCTTTTTTTGTACATCAATCATATATATGTGTTGTGCCTCTAAATTATATTATTTTGATGTAACCATGTTTATAAACAGTTTATTAAAAATACATATGTTGATGGAAACAACATTGCACTTATAGTTTTAAATTTAAGAATTTAGGTTGCCCCCACTGAGGCAAAATCCTGGCTCTACCCCTACCTATAAGTATCAACCTCCTTACAATAGGATATTTGATGAATATTCCTTGTAAGGCCTTGAACGATGAATTTTTAAGTTTGTTCTTTTGTTTGAGTTTGCAGGCACATTATTTCTCCTAATGGTAACTTTGAGTTACTTATGCAATTTTGTATATTTTTAGTTGATTAGCATCGTGTGTATTTTTCTGTAGTCCTTATTTGATCTGTTTGCAGTTGGACCCAGTAGCATGCCTTGCCAACTGATGGTGGGATTCTTTGCATATGCCAAGTCACTTGAAATAAACGTGGACAAGGAAGAGTTGGAAGGTATCTTGAATATTTATGGCATAGCTACTGATTAGTATAGTATTTTTTTCTGCAACCTCTGTCTATTCTATTGATGAACTGTTTTTATGACGCTGCTCTGTCACTCTTTAGCTTAGTTCGTTACTTTTCATGTTTTGATTTTGTAAGAAAGAGAAATACAAATAAGGTAACCTGAATACAACTGAACCACTAAACCTGCCAAGTAAGTGAGAATATGGAAATAAAGCTTGTTTCTTCTGATCAAGTGGTTATAACAATTGAGATTTTTCTGCTTGTCTAGATGCTAAGTGGCAGAGTAGAGAAGATGTGAAAAAAGCATTGGCATTGGCCGAATACAAGAAGGCACAAAAAACATCTGCAACCAAAGTGGATCATATGTGCAAGGGAGTCGAGAAAGGACAGAGCTTATCTGCAGACTTCAATGTGGAAAGTGGGGAACTCGCTCCCATGTTTTTCCCCGGACCCTTCGCAATTGCTCATCACCTAATCTCCTCTTGGGCCAATCAAGTCGGAGTAAATGGTGTTGAAGCGAAACAACCTACTAGTTCCTTGTCGAGTTTGTAGCAGTCATTCTTTTCGTAAGGCACCTCATAAATTTTTCTCTATTATTTCCAAGTTGATATTGGTCATGTACAAAGAACACTAGCATCCCAAATTCATCATCAGCGATGCTTAAACAATATGAATGGTTTTATTGTTATTATAAGATCCTTTCAGGGAGGGCGGCTCCCCCTCTCCTCTCATCCTCATTACCACATTTGGCCTTTGTATTACCTGTTTTTGTATTTGATTTCTCTGACTTTTCTGGAACATAACTACTACAGCTTTTGGCCAAATTCACCATACAAATGATTCAACAGATGCTATTACCGCGTAATAGCTAAAGTGCGCTTCGTGTTCTTTTTACTGGTTGGGGTATATCGTTTTTTCTTTTCTTCTTTTTATCATGCATACATCGTACAATCATGCACTTGTGATTTTAATAGATTTACCAAAACTGTCGCGAATTTAGCTGCATCAATGGCCATAAACCAATGTTAAAGGTTTTTAATCCATATCCATACTACTCTAAAATGTCAAGATACATGAAAAATTTTATTTGGACACTTTTATTCTACAAAATTTTGAAAATATCAAGATCACCATTGAAATTGAAATACTAAACACTTGTGACATTCATCATATCACATGGGTCATTAAATATTTCATAATGAGCATTATTGTATTTGCTTAGTGTAAGGTATATCACTCTAATAAATCTTATAATGTCAAAAATATTATACAAACTCTTCATCTTCCGATATTTTCATGTTACTATTAATTTTGTCATGTGTGAGGTAGGATAAGTGAAATGTCATATCAATCTATCTTCCTCCTCATAATAAGTAGCATAACCTTCAACTTTTTCTTAGATCGATATCTATATTTATATCTATCATACCTATACTATATATTATACTACTTCTAATTTATATTTATACTTATATCTATACTACTAATAAAAGGCAGTTAAGTGAAAAACTTTTGAATTCTTTTTATATCCCTAAAAGTTTTATAAAGACAATCACATTATATTCTCTAATTTAACCTCTAAACTCCCTCTCTAGGAGTAAATATTCATTTACAACTATAATGAATATGTAGCTATCAATAGAAAGGATTAACCATGATTTCTTGTTCTTTTGTATTCTAATAACCAAAACCCCATTTTTGCAGTAAATCCATTCATGTCCTCCTCATCCATTCAAACTCATGTTACACACACATATAATATATAAAAAATACCAAATTGCCCTGATTTGATTAGCCATTCCATGACTTATTTAGGTTTTCTTCACCTCCTTCACAATTTTCTATACAAATATGTTATCATCCAAGAGAGAATGACCTTAACTATGTAACAACATTCACTCCCCCTTGGATCTACTATGTCTCTGCTTGTGGAATCTTCATGTATTGAGGTATATCACTCTCAGTCGATGCATCATTTTGTTTCCACTCATTCTTTGTTCCTTTTAGTTGCGTATTTCTTTTGCTTAGGTATTTGCTTTGTCATACTTTTGATTGGGTGTTTATCCTATGACTTTAGTCCACCTGGTAACTGGGTGTTTATTTTTTTGTCTACACCAACATGAGTGAAGATGAAAATGGTCTTGCCACTAGACATATCTTAGAGAGATGTTAATTTGTTGTCATAAGTATTACATTTTTTTTGTTTGTGTCAAATATGTACTCAAAATCATGTCTACATTATTTGAATACTAGTCATAACCCGTGCCTGAAGGCACGATAAAATATAAAATTCGAACGTCCAAAAAATCAATCTTACTATTTTAAATTTTTTCAAAATATATTAACTATAAATTAATTAAATATTAAATGATTAAATATATGATAGAAATGAGTGATGTGATATTTTTAGGGAGAAAATATATTAATGATTAAACATGTAATAAAAATGAGTGATATAATTTAACGTTTGAGTTTGACAAAGGGATGATGGGTGAGGTACGTGATTGGTGATGGTTTTGAGGGGGAAAATATGACTGAGATAAAATTCAAACACATTCCTATTTTATTATATAGATATGTGGATAATAGCATGATATTGTTGGTCGCATGCTTTTTTTACTTTTACAAAATATGCAAGTAAATTATTCTCCTTGTTGTATTTTATGTCCTACAAGAAATTATGGGCAATAGTGGACGAGTGTAAAATTGGATAATAGCATGGTTTTGGAGATGAATATTTATTACATCTCTCAAGCAAAATGGCGAGGTTTGAGATGTACCATTAATAAGACGAGAAATCCGGCCGTACCGCAATTTTACTATGCAATTATCTATTTTCAGAATTGTTCACGTGTAACACATGTGTGCAAGTACCGGTGACACTAAAGACTCCCATAATGTCTGCCTCCCCTCTGTATATATAAAGGAACAGAAGTGAAGGGGCCTTTTATCTCTTCTTTTGAAGTTGGGACTCGGTGCTCTCCTGCTATTTCTGTTTCTTCCTTGGATAACTCTTATTTCCTCTTTGTTGCTTGTGTTGCGCATAATCATTTAGCCTGCATCAGACTTCACACTGTTGTCCTCTACATTAGATCACTCGCAAGTAAATTTAAGTGGGATCTATTATATATAACCGAATGACATATTAGAGGGGATTTGGATATGCATTTCTTCATGCAAGTTCTCATGTTAAGGACATTTACCATGCATTGGAGCCAGACCTTTTGTAACAACATAGAAGGGTGATCTTTTATTCACACATTGAATAGATCTCCATCCACCAGTTATTGGGCATATGCTTTGAATCTGTTTTACAAAGGCATGTTTTTTGACCAAATTGCACCAGCATATCTTAGGATGACTACTGCATCAATTGGCTCTAGGCATATTTCACAATCTCGAAGCAGTCCAGTCTTAAAGATAGACCCTAAAAAAAGCTTGTGCATAAAACATAAGACTCCCATCTGTAGTTTGCTCAGCCATCCAAGCAATATGTTGTCTCAGAGTGAGGCAAGGAATTCAATTAAATATTCGTTCTTCAATATCTCGGCTGCACAAGAAGTTGGACTACCTGTTCCTCCAACCTGGAGTGGATTCTAGGGGAAGGGCAGAGCCTCTCCTTGCAGTAGGAATTACTGGGACGGGTTCAAACTGCCGAGCCCAGAAATCAGTGTCTCTAAAATGAGGGTAAGGAATTGATAATGGACATGTAGTCATAGTCAATTAGAGAGATGAAAATGATACACTTCAAGTTGACTCTTGATACACAGCCCTGCACATGCCTATCTGCTAAATTTTAACAAGAGTGTTACCTCAAGAAAATGCTTTTCCAATACAGTCATACAGAACAAGAGAGCTCCTGTTTATTCCACAAACAAATCCTCCTCTGGTGACATTTATATTTTTGTTTTGACGCCATATGATTATGCCTGGACTTAAAATTTCTAACTTCCTATTAAGCTATGTTTCTGTACTTTTCAAGTAGACCGCGCCCATTTTAGAGTTGATAGAGCCAAAGCATCCATGGGGTCGATACATTTCTTCAGAAGAGGATCATCATGAGGCAAAAGGCCTTGAAATTCATCGGTAGCTAGGATAACAGTGTTCGCAGCCCTCATCAATAGAACCTGAACTGCAACTCTCAAGAGATTCCTAGCCCCATCCACGTCCTTTCTGTTCAATGCCTCAATTGCAGGATTCAGTATATGCTGTACAGTTGCTTTGTCTGGTAAGACCACCTCAAAATTCTGCACAATTGCAACAATCAAAATAAATACCAAGGAAATTGTATATGTGATGCATGCTTATATGTGCTCATTGACAATTATAATACAACTGAGAGCACTTCAGAAACGGATTTGGGGTACAGTCAAGTGTCAAGTGCACTATGGTTGGTTTGCCATCAAAAGAACTAAACTTGGAAAAGATATTGGATTAATAAGAAAAGGAGTTTGGTTTGCCGTCAAAAGAACTAAACTTGGAAAAGATATTGGATTAATAAGAAGAGGAGTTAGCTAGGAATCTATAGACAAAGTTCATGCTACGACCACAGGGGCCACTAGTGCACACCACTTTTGTGGACGGAAGTGGACTTAACCAACCAGGGCCCGCGCGGGGGGTGGGTGGGGGGGGGATTCAAATGGTGTTTCATAAAACAAAGTGAAATGAAGCAAAAAGTAGATTAGAAATTAGCGGAAAATTTGTCATGAAGGCCAAAAAAAATATCAAAAATTATACTGAAATTGGTGCTTATAGTCAAAAACTTCGAAGTAGATTAAACCATAAGAGGTCAACAAGAATTCAACTAAGAGATATGCTTTGTATGCTATTCCTCTCTGAATAAATCCAAGTGTGTCAACTAAGCATATTCTCTCTGTCTTCTTAAGATGGAGAAAGATTGGTGTGAGCCTCCAATTAGTATAAATTTTAGCAGGTGATTATTTCACAGGTAAACATAAGCTCAGTTGACACTCTCATGGGGACTAAGACCATATGAATGAGGTGATCAACATTATTTACAATGGTATTCTGAAAAAAACATCAGTCAAGCAAGCAAGAATCAACATTCCGTTTTGTTGCATAGTTTTGGTTGCTTTGGAAATGAAAACTGTTACGGAAACGTCTCATAAACATTTTGAGAAGATAATGAAAGCCGAATAAAATTTGGACTTTTGGTTCTGAAAAATTGTGAAATATTGACCGAATCGTTTCAAAACATTCCAAAAACAAAAGAATTCTAATATTCAACCTCTGATACATTTTTGGCGGGAACGAAATGAAATTTTTTATCCTTAAACGCAAATGGGAAGGCACAGTAGCTATCCAAATAGAATACCTGACTCTGTAGTTTCTCCTGATAACAAGAAGCCACTAATTTTGCATCTGTGGCAATCACACCAATCCTTACCTTACTCCCAGCTTCAAGTGGCTTCAGCTCTGCTTCTTTGAGGTCCCTGGCAACACAATCACCAATACTGAGGAAAGGCACAGAACATCCCTCTGATACCTCACTGTGCCACATTTCAGAAATATGGCATGGCATAACAATACAATGAACCCCTGACTGCTCGAGAAACGCTCTTTTACGCCTCAAACTCTCTGCAGTCATCTCATACTTGGTGCGCGTTTCATCATCTAATTCTCCATTGACCAACGCACTTTGAATTGAAAGCTCTCTACTTATTACTGGATCATTGCATACGATAAAAGGAACGCAATCTTCTCCATTTCTTGAACTCCACCACACAAGTTTTTCCAAGAAAATCAGTGTTGAAAATACAGAAACTCCTCCAATGATTCCAACAGTTTTGGCTTGATTAAGCGGTGAATTCAGGGTTTGACACCTTGTTAGAGGTGTACCTGACCCTGCAATCTTTGTAGATTCGGATAAATTCCCATTCTCTTCGGTTTGTACAAGCATAGGTGACAATTGTGTAGCGACAGATGGATTTAATCTTTTTCTGTGAGTCTGCCTATTTTTGTGTACACTACCTACAAAGATTGGAAGTGAATTTAGATTATGGAAAGACAGCGTAATGACTCCATTTGACATCCCTAATGGCTATATTGTTAAGATCTAGTGATTCTGTCAATATCCTGTGCATGTGTCTATAGTATCTAGCTGCAAATTCTATCAAAACATTGAAGAGCAGTCACTATTAGCTAAACCCACCTCTAAAAAGTAAAGAATTGCCATCAACTTTATAAACTTCAGCTCAAAGTCCCTAATACCTCCCCTCTTACCAAATTTTCAGCTCCAGAAGCAAAAGCCACTTTAAAAAGATTCCTATTTCTCTGGGGTTTTCAATCTAATTCAGATCCTAGAAAACCCAAAAAAAAACACAACAAAAAAAGGTGAATTTTAACTTGGTTTCTATCCCCAGTTCCCTAAAAACAAAATCTAGATAGGAAAAACAGAACCACCTGATGAAGCTTTATGAAAACCAGATCCCAAACCCACAAACACAATACTATCAGCTCCAAACCAAGACAAGTTGGCTTTGATAAGTTCTCTCTAGATTTCAAGAAACAAGCTAGACCTCAGCACCAAAACTAGATTTTTAGGGCATCTGGGATGGTAAATATAGAAACAGTGTTGCAAATTCCAAGGGCTCTTATATATGCATATATGATGGGATGTCCAATCACAAAGTTTTGAGGAATCTTGCCACCGTATCACTGTCTAGCATTCCAATTTCCGAAAAGAATTATATGAGTTATATTACCTAAGTCAAAATTACAGAGAATTAAAATATGGATGAAGACAGACATTTTTCACCTTGCCTGAATTATTGATATTTGACATAGAATTATTAGAAGGATGGCACATGGCAAGAGTCAGAAAGAACCAAACCCGAGTCTGCTGTAAAGGGTTAACTCAATAACTCATTGGCTTTTCAACTGCATTTAGTAGGTATGCTGGTTTAATTCTCCTGCAATTGCGAATAAGCACCTCGCTAAAGAACCCCCACCCCTTAATCGTTCCAATCACGTGTTCTTTAGCGATGGTTATAATATGAACTCCAAATATGCATAATAACCCGCAAACAACGTACATTGGAAAAAACAAGGGTTCTTTTGTGAGTTAAACTTTGAACCTCATAATAATAACACTTCAAAATCTTTTCATCCGAACTATCCCGCGTTCCACTCAGTCCTATTTCAATCACAATTTTCACATATATTGTTTTCTGTTTTTTTGGGGGGAGGGTTTGGACAACTTGACATATAGTGCTGTTAAATGAAGATTATAGTTTTCATTAATAACCAGAAAATTTGGTCAGTTGCTTTAATCATTGAAAGATGAACAAGTGGCATGTGATAACTTTTGTCATCTATCTATGCTCTTGGATGGTACAAGCTTATTGAATAAGTGGTTTCTTTCTTGGAAAACCATTAGTGACATGAGCCAATAAACTAAGAACACGCAACCTCAAGAATCAAAAACATAGGATTAGTTGGGGGACCCAAATTTATAAGTCCTTCTCACTTCAACCTTATATGGATATTGTTGTGTGACTTGTATTTCAAGTTTTAATTGGATAAATTTTTGTTTTGCAAAACTTTGGCATGAAGTGGATGGACTCTTTAGATAAGATTCAAGAGAATTTGTTTTCAAATAGAAGATTGTTTCATTATTTAATTGAGAATGTATTGAAATATTCAACCTCAGTGATGAGTTTTAGTTTTACATGAACTTATGTGATTTAAACTCTTTGCCTTAAAAGTAGTTTTCTAGCATACAAATATAGGAATTTGTTTGTTCTATTTAGTTAGTCCAATAATTATTGTAATATTGGAATAGAGTGGGTGAATGCTCTCTTGCCTTTGTTTTGAGAACTTTGTAATTTTCAACTTTTAATAGTGAAATCTTACTGTTGTATTTCGTTCGTGGACATAGACTTGCTTGTTGAGCCAAACCACATAAATCTTTGTGTTCTATTTTTCTATTTTGTTGCGTTATTATTTTGCTTGTGGTTTTAGTTCATAACAAATTGGTATCAGAGCTATTGGTTTCGGGATGGTTACAACAAAATTCAAGATAAAAAAATTTGATGGTTAGAAAAATTTCAGTTTATGACAGATCAAGATGAAGACATTGCTTCGTCAGCAGGGTTTGGCAAAGACCATTGATGGAACTTTATCCAAGGAGACAGATCAGACTAAAGTTGCTGATATTCAGTTGTCTCTTGTTGATGAAGTTCTTCGTGAGGTTATCGATGAAGATAAAGCTGAAGGGAAAAAAGTTAGAGTTTATATATGAAGAAGTCTTTCGCTAATCGCTTGTATCTGAAGCAACGATTGTATACACTTAAGATGTACGCCCATTAATGAACATCTTGATGAATTTAACAAAATTATTATTGATTTGAAAAATGTTGATATTAAAATTGGGATGAAGATTAAACCCTGATTGTGTTATGCTCGTTGCTTGATTCGTTTGATAATTTTGTTAATTCGATGTTGTATGAGAGAGACTCAATCTTTTTAGTTGATGTGAAATTCTCTTTAAATTCTAAGGAGTTTGCGTATTAAATTGAGCAGTAAGGGTAGTGATGCTAAGGCCACGGGTTTATTTGTGAAGGGTTGTCATGATAATTCCTCTAATAATAATAGAGGTTGATTCGTTGAAAGAAATTCAAATAAAGGAAAAGAAAAATCTGGATATAGATCACAGTTTAGGAAAAAATAGAATAATATTGAATATTTTTATTGTCATAAAATTAGTCATTAGAAGCGTAATTGTTTTAAGTTAAAAAATAAAGGAGGACAGAAAAAATCAAATCCTTTCGATTCCTCTAGTGTTGCTGGTGTTGCAGAAGATACATCTTATGGTTCAGATAATGTCCTTACAGTCTCTGATGGATGTTTTAATGATGAATGGATTCTTGATTCGGATTGTTCCTATCATATGTGTCATAATAGGGATTGGTTTACCACCTATGAGTCAATCAATGGTGGTTCAATCTTGATGTGAAATAATATTACTTGCAAGACTGTTGGAATAAGTACTATCCGAATTAAGATACATGATGGGGTTGTGAGGACTTTGACAGATGTACAACATTTTCTAGAATAAAAGAAGAATTTGATTTCCTTGGGTACTTTAGATTCCATTGGTTGCAGGTTTTCTGCTGAAGGTGGAGTTATGAAAGTCTGCAAAGATTCCCTGGTTATGATGAAAGGTAAAAGATTAATGACCTCTATGTTCTTCAGGGTGATATTGTGATTGGTGCAATTGGTGTGTCATCTTCAAAAATTTCAGATTCAGATACTACCAAGTTATGGCAAATGCGTTTAGGTCACATGAGCGAGAGGGGCATGAAAGTCTTGTGTAAACAGGGTTTGCTAGGCAAATAGAAAATTAGAAAACTTGATTTTTGTGAGTATTGTATCTTTGAGAAATAGTGTAGAGTCAAGTTTAGTACAACTATTCATAGGACTAAAGGTACAGTTGACTATATTCATTCAGACATTTTGGATCCTTCTTAGCTTCCATCTCAGGGTCGTGTTCGATTACTTTTGACCTTTATTGATGATTATTTGAGAAATGTTTGGGTATATTTTTTGAAACGCAAAAGTGATATTTTTGAGACTTTCAAGCAATGAAAGACTTTGATTGAGAAATAGACAGACAAGAAAGTCAAGTGTCTCAAAACAGATAATAGTTTAAAATTTTGTGGAGGTAAATTTAATGAGTTTTGTAGAGATGAATGCATTGTTAGATATCCAACTGTCTAGTATACTCCACAGCAAAATGGGGTTGCAGAGAGAATGAATAAGACTCTTTTGGAGAGAACATGTTGTATGTTCTCTAATGTAGGATTGTATAAAGATTTTTGGGCTGAGGTTGTCATCACTGCTTTCTATTTAGTTAATCGTTCTTCATCCACTGCTATTGAGTTGAAGACTCCACAAGAGGTATGGTCTGGTATCCCTACTGATTATTCTGATTTGAAAATATTTGGTTGCACTGCTTATTATCATGTGAATGATGGTAAACTTTACCCTAGGGTTAGAAGTGCATATTTATTGGTTATGTTAATGATGTGAAAAGATATAGATTGTGGTCTTCTGATCCTAAATCACCTAAATTTATAGACAATAAGGATATTGTATTTGATGAATCTTCAATGTTTCATTCGAGAAAGAAGGTTATAGTTTCGGCAGGGAAAGAACAATGTTATAACAAAAAGAGGTGGAGCTACAGGTAGAAGCTTCACAGAAAGTACTCTAGTTCAACCCTATTTCAGATTTACCTGGTTCTAGTTCATGTGATGATCCACAGGAACAACAAGAGTATAATATTGCAACAGGCAGGGGGAAAAGGCAAATTAGACACCCTAAAAAATATGGGTATGCAGACTTGGCACTAACAATAGCAGAAGAGTTTCATATTCAGAAGCTGTCATAGGTAATGAGTCTGCACATTGGATTTTTGCTATGGTTGAGGAAATTGAATCTCTTCATAAGAACCAGACTTGAGAATTAATGAAATTACCTAAGGGCATAAAGACTGTTGGTTGCAAATGGGTCTTCAAGAAAAAAAAAAAAATCTAGGGGTTGAATCTGCTAGGTACAAGACACGATTGGTTGCAAAGGGCTACAGTCAGAAAGAGGGTATGGACTTCAATGAAGTTTTCTCACTAGGGGTGAAACATAGCTCTATTCGTGTATTGCTTGTCATGATTGCTTCACTTAATCTTGAGTTTGACTAATTCGATGTAAAGACAACTTTTCTACAGGATGGGTTAGAAGAAACTATCTACATGCATCAACCAAAGAGATTTATTGTTCAAGGTAAAGAAGATCATGTTTACTTGTTGAAGAAATCATTATATGGTTTGAAACAGTCTCCAAGACAGCGGTACAAATGTTTTGACACCTTTATAGTAGATCATGGTTACTCTAAAAATAATGATGATAGTTGTGTGTATCACAGATAGTTGTCAGATGATTCTTTTATATATTTATTGTTTTATGTGGATGACATGCTTATTGTTGCCAATAGCATGTTAGAGATTGACAAGTTGAAGAAACAATTGACTTTAGAAATTGAGATGAAAGATTTGGGTGCTGCAAAGAAAATTTTGGGTATGGAGATTCATAGGGATAGAAGAGCATGTATATTATATTTATCTCAAAAAAAATATATTGAGAAATTTATTGAGCGGTTTGAGATGCAGAATTCGAAGCTTGTGAGTACTTTACTTGTCGCTCACGTTAGGCTTTTAGCAGCTTTATCACCACAGAGTGAGAATGAGGAATAATTTATGTCTCGTGTTCCTTATTCTAGTGCAGTTGGGAGCATCATGTATGCTATGGTTTGCACTCGTCCAGATATTTCACAGGCAGTTAGTGTTGTTAGCTATTACATAGCTAATCCTGGGAAAGTTCATTGGCAGACCGTGAAATGGATATTTCGTT